CTGCCTTTAACGTGGCGCTGGCCTCTCTGGCTCTCCCAGCAGCAGAAGAAAGACTACAGATGTCATATACAGCCTTTGAATCATAGTGGAGGGGAAGACTAATTCAATTCCTAATTCTCCTCCAAATGTTCTATGTGCTCTTAGTCTGTGGCAGAGCCTGACTGAGCCATGAGCGGGAGAAGCTTGCCCTTCGCCCCTCGCCCCTGGTTTCTGCAGGAGGGAAGCCCAGGTACAAGTGCCCAAAGGCAACCGTGAGGTGCCACTGCCCCACGGCTCAGACGGACCCTCCTCCTCTACACGCACGGACAGATGCCTGGTCCCTGCTCAGCAGCTGCTGAGCCGTGGTGGCACCGCACCGCGCCACGGGACAGGACCGCAGCCTTGGCACAGAGCCACCCTGACATGGTCCCAGACTTCAGCTGACCTGCGTCGGAGCACAGACAGAGGAAGCACACATATATCCGCAGCTCAAAAAGCAGGTGTACCCTTGATTTCTCCCTCTGCCTGCAGTAGTAGTGCCTCAGAAGGAACTGTGGGCATCCACATAAAGCACGCATGGACCTAACATTGACAAACTACAGCAGACAAGGCCAACTGCAGGCCAACCTTAATACCTTTTTACACTGCTCAGCTAATAGACATTAAGACTTCAGTGCAGCATTATTGCTAGTCAGATGTCAGCTGTTGTTTTTAAAGAAGTGTGAGCTAATGTGTTAAAAACACATTGGCCCCATGACCTGGCCTCTCAACACACCCTGATATCCTTTGGTACACTGGACTCTCTTTACAAGGTTGCTTTTACCAGCAGATACCACAGGTGATGTGTTGCTCTCTCTGACACCCTTTTCTGATATCTGGAAACCTCAGACAGCACTGAGAAATCCTAAAATGTGATCAGAGTCAGTCATCGTTCCAGCGCAGTCTCTTCCGACGCCGCTGTATTACCTGCATTCAGCACTGCTGGGGTGCCTGGAGGTTTGGCTCCTGGTGGAAATCGGGCACTGTCCCTCTGCTCCGGTCTGCCCATAGTCTGAGCGCTGGCTGGCTTTCCGTCACACACAGGCCTTGCAGAGTGACTCTAGCCCAGACCCACTTCTTGAAAAGCGACAACTAGCAAAGAAATTGTTCAGTTCTGCAAGCATGAATGACCAGAAGCACGTACAGGCAGAGCAGAGCTGCTATCTCTTGCTGTCTCTAGTGGATGGCTTTGAAGTTAGGAAGACTCATCTTTAGGTCTGTAAGCAGAAGAATTCAATCCCTCCTTTTGGATTACAGACGTGGAACACCTTATCATTTTTCTTTGTCCATGTAGAGGGATATTTCCATTTGCTATTTTTTCTCCCTCCCCTTAAGAGTCTTGAGGTTTGCAGCCCCCTGGGGTCAGCTTTGAACAGAGTGGGTAGCGCCTCTGTGCTGCATGTCCTCTCTAAATCCGTCCCTCCCACACTAGTAGGCAAAGACAGAACAAGCCTCAGAGGAATCCATGACATTTCTCGCCCGGCTCAAATGCAGTGAAGATGATGTTTGAAATGCCATTAGTCATGAGTGATTAGCAAAGCTTAGTTGTTGAGGTTCTTAAACCCCCTTCCAGTTCTGCAGAGGGAAGGGCATGTTTGTGGTTGTGGTTGTGTTCTTTGTAATCGAGCTCAATTTTTATGGGTTCTGCTTATCTGCGGCCATAACAGAGAGGGAAATTCACAACTGTGCTGCAATTATTAATGATCCTTTAGGGTGCTTAGAGCTCTCCATAAGCTCTCCATTTCAAATACTATATCTCTAAATAAATAAGCAAAGACCGGTCTGGTTTTTAACCTCTCTAGTGCAACTAATATTCAGGGAAGTGGTGGGGAGCCAGGCTCGGGTGCTGGATTGTAGCTGCTCCACTCTGGGTGCCTTGGTTGTTGATGGTTTCCTGAGACCCTGTGTCTGAACCCATGCTTGTTCCCTCTGCAGAAAACAATTGCTGCCATATTCATTTAAGGCATGAGGGTGTTTGTTGGTGTTTCCAATATATTGAACGCCTATCAAAAATGGTAGGAAAGCGGGAAGACAGAAATGTATCAGAAAAGCAAATACTTGTATCCCTTGTAATATTAAAATGCAATTTTAAATCATTTACAAAGAAATCCGTACTGTATGATATGAATGAGGACATGGTAACAATCAGGCCTTTAAAAACTGATTTGTCTGTGCTTTAGCACAGCATCAGCTTCATCCTCCCAAAGACCCCACAGGAACATCCCGCATGAACTCAGCTGCTCATGAAGGAGATGCAGACTTTATTGCACACTGCATCAGCACTTAGGAGGAGCTCCACCGTGCCTACTTTGGCAATTAAAATAATACTTTGGGAGAATTAAATTTCTCCGAGTCCAGGAAAACGCTAGAGAAACTAAATGCTCTTAGAGCTGAACCAGCCTTTTCCTACTTTGACAAGCTGTTCCAAGGCGGGCTGTCCATGTGCAGAAGTGCCAGGCAGTAAGGCACCTGCCTCCTGCCTAAGCTTCACTTCGCGTGGAATCATTGCTGTGTCTGCAGGGGTCCTGATCCATTAAGCTTGCTCTAATAAGGATTAATTTGTAAGTACCTCATTAGTTCAACATGAAATGCAGTAGCCATGGTCAAAATGCTTAGTCTTGCAGCCAGCCGTGGACTCTGACTACATTTAAAACTGATATTCGGTGTGCATCTCATACTTAGTGACTGCAGACATCTCATATTTAACAGTAGCTCAACAAGCAGCAGCTACAAGACAAATATATGTTTTGTGGAAATTAATCAGTGAACAAGTTCCAGCATCATCCGGTCCCTTCACCACACTCTGCCCGTGTCCCCCCAAGTTTCTCTGTTACGTAGGTGATTAACACGTTCATCTGCAAAGCCAGTAAGCACCCAGGCATCCAAAGGCAGACGGCATTTTCAGTTTTTATATTCAAACCACGTTAAGCTAGATTTTTGCAGTAAGTGACCACAAATCAGGTGAGGATTTTCTCCTCCAGGAAAGCAGTCACTCAAGGGGAAGGGCAACGTCCTAGTACGCATGAATGTCTAAAGGGGCTGAGAGAGGGTACACCAAGGGCCATGATTTCCGAACGGCTTCCTTACGCGCACAGGCATGGTTTATCTGATTATTCCAAGCAGTGAACTTGAACTTGTACACGTACCTTGTAGTTGCACATGCCAGTACAAACTGTTGAGAGCTATTCCTGAGCAGCTGGAGAAAATCTAGAGGTCGTGTGTGCAGACGAGTACTTCGCGGAGGGAGGCTTGCTGTGGGAAGGGCCGTAGAGGGTCTGTCCTCCGTCTGACAAGTCTGCCATTAGCCGCAGTCTTAAAACCCCGAGAAAGCGCCTGGGGCATGGCTGCACATTGCCACGGAGGCACCAGCTGGCACAGAGTGTGTGATACTGAGATTAACCTTATGAGAAGCCTTCGCCATTTCTGCTTATTAAACTTCAAAAAAAAAAACCAAAACCAAACAACTATCTAGGAGGAGGAACAGATCAGATATTAATGAAAGTCACGTACATCACCATCAGATTTACATAAAGGCATATTCAATTATTTTATGGCACAGATTTTAATCACTTCTTATTAACATTTCCTATTAACTTTTATTCCAACTTCTACTTAATCAGAAGTTAATCTACCACCAGAAAGAGGTACATACTTACTAGTGGGAAACAAAAATCTGATTTAAAAGGTGCACAGTAATTTAGGTACTGGTAAGTTAAACATTCCCTAAGAATCATTTTTTCCTTCTGAAATTCTTAATTACCAACAAAAGGCCATCTTTAAAAGTATCAATAACGTGAATAGTTACAGTGTTTAAAATAGAAGATTACAAAAGAGTGTATGTAGGTATGCAGACTCTCATAACAATAATTTTTAAATGAAAAGCAGTTGTTTTTTTTTAACATTCTAGTCCCCTCCGTTGCAAATGCTGGCACCTGCTTAAGTACTTGGCTGAATCAAGGCTAGGTTATCTAAACAGCATGACTTGAATCTTTCTGGCATAGAAATACAGATACAATTAAATATGTTGAAAATCTATTCTGGAATGTCATTTTTAATCAGGTAACTTGAGTAATTTTTTTTTACTTCACATTCTTACCTTCCCGTGGAATGCAGCAAAGATGTATTGATTGAAGGGAAGGGTATTGGTTCAGGATATACCAACACGCTGGTGAATGACAGATGCAATGAGATGAGGTGGTGCTTCCAGATGACACAGCCCCAGAGCACAGTCTGTGTTACAGATCTGTAGAGCTAAGTTCTGTAAAATAGGATGGCATACATTATACTAAAAAATACTACTTTGCATTCTTCTCAGATAACCCAGGCTGTTTACTTCTCAGGGACTCACAAATCTGTATTATTGTTCTTCGGTGACCACAGAAAGGGTGGGCTGTCTGGTTCCTATCACCCCACAATTTTACCATCTTCTGTCCCTTATCGCAATGGGGTTTCAAAGGAGGATATGAGTGATAGCACCCAAATGCAGCTGAAATTCAGTGACTGATTACTTAGGTTCCTTTTAAAGATCCTGGACTAACTAATCAGTAAAGCAAGAGAACTTGCTGAAAGAATGGAAAAGGGAAAATTAAAATATAACAAACACGTAATTTGCCCAAAGTTTTCAGGACAGATGGGTGGATACAGACCATTAGTAGAAAATGACATCGTTTTAGTTGCCATCTCACTGTCCAGTTTGCGTAGTGCTTATTCATCCATTTTAACTTAATAGAAACGAAATACATGTTGGTACATATCTGCCTCTGCCGTGAGGCCCTTGCGCAGATTTGATTGTAATTTTCTTGTTAATAATTTTCTATCAGTATCACGTAGTCCTGAACTTCAGTGACTGCAAAATAGGCTGCAAAGAAAATGTTTCCTACTCACTCTTGTAATTTACCATCTGATTCATTAGTCTGAGACTCTAGATTGTGATTATGTTGCAACTGTTTTGTAACTAACTTGGGTTTGTTTTCCCTTTTCAGAGAGCAGATATAGCTGTTGCCCCCCTCACCATAACACTGGTGCGAGAAGAAGTCATAGACTTTTCCAAACCCTTTATGAGCCTGGGCATCTCCATCATGATCAAGAAGCCCCAGAAATCTAAACCGGGCGTATTCTCTTTCCTGGATCCTTTGGCTTACGAAATTTGGATGTGTATAGTCTTTGCTTACATTGGCGTCAGCGTAGTTCTTTTCCTAGTCAGCAGATTCAGCCCTTACGAATGGCACTTGGAAGACAGCAGTGAAGAACCACGTGACCCTCAGAATCCTCCCGACCCTCCAAATGAGTTTGGAATATTTAACAGCCTTTGGTTTTCCCTGGGTGCCTTTATGCAGCAAGGATGCGATATTTCTCCAAGGTTTGTTCCGTATCACTCCATCACCTTTTTGCATTTTATGGTCATTTTCTGATGCCATGGTGCATATATGTTACTTTTTCAAATTTCTTTTTAATTCAAAATTTTTTATTTTGACATTCCATTCAATGCTAGGCATCAGCATCAAGCCACCACGCTTGCTAACATTCACCTCCAGAGCGAGTGGCATTGCCTTATAATGCCATTTATGCATTTCTGCCAAACTTATATACACCATGTTGAGGCTGTAAAATGCATAGGGTTTTCTGTTTTCAGCAATGCTTGGAGGGCTACCGTGTTTTTGCTGCATATCTCATTTTACGGTCATCTCCTTGGTGCATATAACATACTCTGCTTTGCAAAATAATAATTGTTTATTTAAAAAAGTCACATGCAACAGCACTTTAAAACACCTCCACTCCCATCATGGCTTCTGCTAGTCTTTTTACTTTCCTTTGTGCCTAATTTCTCTAGTTTTGTTCTTCTTGAACCATCCTCTCATCTATTACTAATTTGCTTACCACCATCTTTCATATCTTCAGGTCTCCATATGTGCCCCTCTAACAGTTATTGCATACTACCCCGTATGTGTATCGTTATTTCAATCCAGTCTAATCTGTTGTCCCTGTGTTCATAGTCAATATGGTCTAATAAGCATTGCCGGTTTCCACAAAGATTTTTCTTATTCATGAAGACAGTCTTTCTGAATAAGGCTGTAGTAAAACATGTTTGATATTAGTTCCAATTTAACAGAGAGCACTGGTATTAACTACTGTAGAATTACATTTCTTTTTTAAAGAAGCATTTTGAAAACCACCTGAGAATAGTGAAGTTCTCTCTAATTGAACAGTGCATACCACAAATGGTTTTTGAACAATATATATAATGTTTCTACATTTACACTGGTAAAATACTTCGGTGATGTGCCTGTGATAAGCAGTAAAATTATCTAGTTTCTTAGTGATGGAGCAGTAGTTTTATTTTGTATGACAATACTTCAATAACCAGTTTACAGCTATTGTAATCATTAAAAATACCTTCTTAGTACAAACAGGATGCAGTTTTTCCTGTTAACAAGGTTGCTAATTAAAGCAAGAGAGACAGATCTTTTCTAACTAAGCACTTATATTCAAAATACACCTTGTTGATCTCCATATTTGTGTACCTTTTTCAGTACCTGAATCATTGAAAAGTTGCCTGATTTTCCCCGTCCATAGAGTGGCAGGGATCTTGAGTAGCCTCACTGACGCAAGTGACAAAACTCCTATGAAGTTGCACGGAAAGGATCATGATTTTACCTGTTATAATGCAATAATGGTCCTTGAAGTTCACAGTCATTGCACATTCAAATCTAATGATTGCAGCGAAATCCAGGACTTTCAGAGATACTGGCGTATGCCTGTTGGTATTTGATGCAAGTCATGCATATGTTCTAAAAGTCTTCATAGCAGCAATTAGATTTCATCTTTATTGAGAGATGCATATATATCCTACGTAAAACGCACACACATTTTTGCCTGGACATGACCATGCGTTAGTGTTCGCAGAGTTATCGGTGTTGGAGTGTGCTGCCTCCCTGTACAGTTATGGCTGTTAGCCTTCTCCTCCTGTTTATACACTGTGTTTCTGCTTTATTCCTAAGTTCTGTACTGAAACTTTGCCTCTCTACTTGCTGTTAAAGGTGATAAGTAGTGATAACATTTAAATTGCTGTTGACCATGTGTGTGCCCAATATAAAGGACCGGGAAATAAGCACTGGGACATCACATGGAAAGCTGCAGGCATTGCACTGTTTCCGCTAGGTCTGTTTATTGACAGTTAAATAGAAGTGCATAGGATTTTTGTTAAGCTCTCATGTGACTCTTTGACATGTTCAGCCATTTACTTTATATAACGAGTGGAACATATTCTGGGTTTTTTTCAATACTACCATGATAAGTGCCTTGGAAATACCTAAAAAAAAAAAGAGACAGCAGTAAATCTATTTATTTTATCTGTCCATCAGAAGCTATTAGCTCAGTATTAATACATGGCCCTCGTTTGAAGACATTGTCCGGTTATTTTGTTATCTTTCATGATAACAGATTCCAGGCAGTTACAGGCATTGTTACTGAAAAAAAGAGAAATTTAATACCTTGGTTTAAATTCCAGAAACACCGTTCCTTTGACCAATATGTTGATTTAAGTTGATTAAATGTCAAATTTCTTTTCCGTAGAAGGGACTATTCCCAAGTATTCCATTCTTAATCCGTATCTTTGTAAGGTTACGCCATTCACAGTACATTGACTATATGAATGTTTCATACTATTTTATTGCCATTAAAAGGGGCTTCATTCTTCCATTGTGAGTTTTGTCTGAATAAATTTCTTATATGAGAGCATACAGCACTTGTAGAGAGATGCCGACAAGCAGTCTGGAGAGATCACTTTTGTACTTGCTGATAAAGGCTCTTTCAGCTGCCTTTGTGTGGAACAGCTGTGACATCTAATGACTAGTTAGATCTATCCTCGGTGAGTATGCTGTGTGGATATTCCAGAGGATATATCCCTATACTCTCCTCTCTGTATTTAATAGGAGTCGTCTAAACGGAATCAGATAGCAGCCAAAGGATGGGGGTTAGCGCATCCCTTGATGGAATCAACATTTGTTCCAGCAGTTTTGTTCTGCTATCAAAGGCTGCTGTGTTTTCTGCATAGTGAGCTAAAGCATTGAAAATTCACTTTTGATGGATCAAAAGTAGATTATTAAACTCGCTTTAATGTAAGATGCGTACAGCAAATGGAATCAGGAGAAAACAGTCAAATTTGTAACACTGTTCTGAGCGAAAGTATCTTTGAAATCTCTGTGAGAGCATGTATTTTCATTTTGCTCTTTATTCATGTGGAACAAAGAGGCTAGATTAATTAATTGCTGATGGAAAAAGACAGGGTGTTCATTAAAAATTATCTCATGAGGTTGGTCATTTAAGAGGGTGCATTTCTAGATCCCTGTTTTCACAGCAGAAGACTCAAGAGACTCCTATTAAAGGCCATGGGAATGACTTTGTGGGACTTTCAAAATAGCAAGGAGAGCTGTTTAACTAGATATTTCTGAAACTCCCACTGCCAGTTCCTATGATGGAAGCATCTCAAGTCAGCGCTTTAGATGCTGTTATGTATTGTGTTCTGTCTTGGTGGCTGCGGTGAGGGCGGCCTGGCTGCGTGAGGCTGGCAGGAGAGGCAGGGGGCTGGCCGGGCCTGCGAGCCAGGGACCCAGCTCGCAGCTTGGTGGGTACCGGGTGAGGTGTGCTCGGAATATGGAGGGGTTCTAGACCAGTTGTTGTTCAGGGTTATTTGTCAATATAACAGCCATCTTGTATCGATCAGAAGAGCCCAATTAAAAATTGAGTAGTGTGAGCAGCTTATTATTTCTGTGTACTATAGGAAATCAAATCTGTTCTCTGGCCAGGAGTAGGAACAAAATTCGAGCTATTTTCATTAAAAAATGAGGTTTTGATTGAATGTATTATTCTTCTGGAAACTGAATGTGAATTTGAATATTTATTTTGTTTTTCTCTTGTTACTAATTTGCTCTCATTTGACTCCATGCTTCCTTTTAAATTTCCTCTCAAGGTATGCACTCTTCCTGTTTACTTCCTTTTGAAACCACCGTCTGACCTTGTTTTGATAATTGAGTTACAATTCTGTTATTCCGGGTCGTTGTTACTCCTCTCATTTGTTAACACTCTAATTCACTTTAAAATAATGTCGTGCAAAGTATGTATTTATTGAGGTAATTTGGAAAACGACATGCGGGGATAAAGCATTAGTTGTTTGGTTTTAAATTACAACAGTGCACACTTGGATAGGTACGTCTTCATCAGAAAAAGTGGTGCTGGTATTAAAAGCTGTGATTGATTTTTCTATAATTATTATCTGAGTAATGGACAAACATTTCTGTGGTTCACAGTACAAACCATACAAGTATTCTCTTATTACCAGCCCAGTGTTTATGTACTAACTCTTTTTCTCCTGCATCCCTCTACACCAGCCCCTGCAGTGGGTATAAGGAGTCTTCATATCAGCAGATGGACTGGGGGACACTGGGGTCCTTTGGACAAGGAGGCTGCCAGGCCATGCTCGTCCGTGTTCTTGTTCTTCAGCTCTCTCTGTCTGTCTGTCTGTCCTTCAGAGTCAGCTTTGTGGTTTGGTTTGTTTTTCTTTTGCCCCATCCTGTGCTACCACCAATCACAGCTATCTCAGCCCAGACTGCTTCATAGTAGCAGCTGTTTAATCTTCCTTTTCATGCTCATTGGAAAACTCGGGGAGAAATGACTCTGTAGTGACATCCAGTTTTCTTCCAAGTGACCTCAACTCTTCCGAGAACAGCTCTAGTCCTCATCTAGCAAGACCCCTCTCTTGCGTGTAGGACCCTCAGGGAAGTGCCGTCTTTGTCAAGGGATCCAGCCATGCCCACCTTCCCCTGCCTCTCACCTGTTCTCCATTTTTCGTCCTGTATCTGTCTGACTTGGTTCATGCAGGTTGCAAGATGTCTGGGGCAAGATATTTTTACCTTTCTCTGTGTGTAATATGCTGTATGAGCATGCAGCTGAACACAGACTTTTTATTGTTACAGCAGTGTGAGCTTGAGGTTTCACTGGTTTGGAAAATGCTTGTCTTCTGCACATCTTCATCCCAGCAACCCATCTGTCCTGCTAACAGAAGGGGCAGCTACCAGTGCAAGTGAGACATTTCCTATGGGAAACTACAGGGAGAATGAACACATACTATTTTGTTCCCAATAGTTCCATTGAATTTAGTTAAACACCCTGGCAAGTCTTTTTTTTCATCTTCCTATTTCAAGACCTACTGTAAAGCAAGAGGGCCACGGGAACCTGGAAACCCCCGATAAAGCTAGTCTTGCTGCATGCAGGTGGATGTTTCATCTGCTGTACCTGCTAGCCAGACTTCTGCTCAGTCTGGCTCTGAAACTGCCCACCTCGCTGCAGGGAGGAGGAATCCAACTCCGGGTCTTCTCTGAAGGTGGAAAGCATGTAGTGAAAGAATGAACAAAAGGGAGATGAACTGCACCTGACGTAGCCATCTAAAAGCAATAGGCTGTGTTTTAGTTAGGCATCTCGGTTCCCTCCAAAGTCATGAGACAGATGGGCACCTTCAGACTTATCCCACACTACAGCAAGTGAGATAAATCTCTTTCTGACGGTGTCTGTCTCTTCTTCTCTCTGCTGGCTCCAAAGGGAGCCTTAACGCAACAAGTTCAGCAGGCGCTGCTTTGTAGTTGGCTAAGATTATGTCAGCCCGTGTAAGAGGCTGTTCGGTGTGTAGGGTATCGAGTTTTATAAAGCAGCTAAAGCCAAGACCCTAACTGGTAAGGGAGCTGGCCAGGAGGGACTTTAGCCATCTGTAAAATCCCCAGATACTCACTTGACACCTACAAAGAATGTAGAGCGAGGTAGAGAGATTCCTTGACTTACTACATTATTCTGGATTTGTATTTCTGCAACTTACCTTTGCAGCTACTCAGTAGCCTTCTGTAAGCGAGCACAGCTGCAGCACAGCCCAGGTTGAAATTTGGTAGCCTTTTATCCTCTTGGGAGGCCCTCAAGAACAGCCGGGAAGCTGCCTCCGCTTGCCGGTGATCTGGCGGATGTGTGCCTGCCCTGAGGAAGCACACGCAGGCCAGAGCGATGGCGATGTCTCTCAGAGTTCACACCTCGAAAGTCACTGCTTCCTGATGGACAAAGAGGTGATACTTCACCTCTCAAGCTTCCCTAAGCTTTGTAACCACCTGAACTGCCTTGCACATTGGTCCTGACTTGATGCAGCAGTCCCTGGAGTGCTAACTGGGCTGGCAGGTGGTGCATGCTGTCATCCATGGGAACCAGCCTGCATCTGCCCTCTCCGTGGGAGCTGCTGCTTCAGTTTCTTGGGCAGAGGAGAGTGGAGAACAGCCAGGCTCCACCTCTTAGTTTGTTTCTCCACATTCCTCTAACCTATTCCAGATTGCTCTCTCTGTTTTTATTGTGTTGGCATTTTTTTTTCTTTGGTGTGTTCTTTAATGTTGGATGGATATTTTTTTTTTCTTTCTTTTCTCTTAATAATTTAATGGGATTTTTTTAATGGCTCAGGCAATCCCAGGCTCTGGCCAAGACTAGGCAGTTTACCAGCTACCCCCCCGTGTGGGTGGGGTGGGGGCACGTCAAGAGACTTTTGCTTTTTTCCTGTCTCCATCTGTTGGTAGGACAACTTGTACCCACTGTCTGGGGATGGCACTGAGGGTCTTGAAGGAAACAAATAAACAGGTAAGAGTTTTCTTGCTTTCTGTTTCTTCCTTTCACACAAACTGAGGACTACAGCACCCAGGTTCCACAGATTTAATCTATCTGGGACTGATTCTTCCTCCACTGGTATCAGTAGAGTTAAGGGAATACATATGAAATGGCTTTGTCTCAGCTCCTGAAATAATTCCTTATCAACATGCTCTGTTTGAAGAATAAGCACTGTACATGGCGGTGAAATTCTCCACCCAGCTGAGCAGTGTGGCACTTGCATCTTTCAGCCCCAAATAAATATTTTGAGCCTGATGTTCAATTGCTTTAAAGCATCAAGAGCTCTTACTGACAGGATCTAGACCTCCTGACCACTAGGCATTTTGTAATTATATGTTTACAAATCAGCTTTTTTTTAGTCCTTATGGTATCCTTTTAAAAAACAAAAACCACAACAAAACCAGGACACAATTAAATTTTTTTATGCTTCCTTCTCTGTTGCTCTGGTGGTTATAAAGGAGGAATACGCTTGGCTTGGAACAGTGCAACATGCAAATTTTAGTTAACGTAAAACAAACCAGCCTCTCTCCTCACTTCAATATGCAGATTCAGTCTGTAATTCCTGCTAGGTTGTGATGCAAGAAGGATACCGGATCATTTTTGTTTTATTCCTTTGCATGTTTACTCGGATTCCTTTTTGCAGTTTCCTACATCTTACACTTTGAGAGTCAATGCAATTACATTCGCGTCCTCCAAGCTGGGCAGCCCCCAAAGAGACACGATGCTGGCATGTCACAGCAGGCAAATCCAGCCTCCGGGAAAGGCTGGGCAAGCAGAGAAGACAGAAGTCTTCTGGCAAAAGACTTCTCTAGCAAAGGGTCTGTGGAAGTCAGGAGAGCTTGTTCCTCTCTAAGCCTCCAGTGAGGTTGGCTCAGATGAATTATTTCTTAATTGACTGTCCTTGTTTTCACTGAAAGACTGGAGAGAGTTTAACTGGGTAAGACCAGGTGCATGCTGAGTTTGCTCTCCTGAGGAAGGCTATCAGGAGCTGGCTCACAGTCCGCCTGCACACAGATACCTGGAGGATCTGAACAAAAGGGTTGTGCATGTGAATTTCTCCTCAATAAAAAAAAAAAAAACAAGGAATGTCTTCAAAGCAATTTGATGATGTGTGTTTTTCCATAGATCTCTCTCAGGGCGAATTGTCGGAGGAGTCTGGTGGTTCTTCACTCTCATCATTATCTCTTCCTACACTGCTAATCTTGCTGCCTTCCTTACGGTGGAAAGGATGGTTTCTCCCATAGAGAGCGCAGAGGACCTGGCTAAACAAACCGAAATAGCCTATGGCACTTTGGATTCAGGCTCAACCAAAGAATTCTTTAGAGTAAGTCTGTTAAATCTCCATTAGAGCTTTTCTAAACTGTAAGTGCCTAATATACGGTTTTCAGTCTTTTGTTTCTACCCAACTGTAATAGCTATTCTGATGGAAGCTGCTTTGTGCAATCGGGACAGGCCTAAGTGCAGATTTTAATATCAAAACACATTTTGTCAAAAATGAGTGGTTTTGCTCAACCTGAAACATCTCAAGATGGAAAACTGGACCTCTGCTATCATGGGAAGGTTTTTTTCAACACCAGTTTCAGAACCTCAGTCTGATGAGCAATAATGCAGTCGTTAGCACAATATTTAGCAAAGAAAACTCTTGGAGGAGTGATGCTCTTGACCTACTTGCTCTGTTTGCCCAGCTGGCAGCCATTAATGCCATCCGACATCAGTGTTCACTTGCCAGAATGAGAACGGGGATGGGAGGCAAGTGTTGCTGTTCGTTTCTATATGGTGCCTTGATTGCTGCTGTTGTTGTTGCTATGTTTTCATTGCTCGCCAGCGTCTGGCTGTGGCTGTATCAGTCAGGGGTGGAACATCTGTACCCCAGAACACTGACGTGTATTCACCTTGGTTAGGGAAATGCTGGGTTTGCAATATTTGGGGGTAGGAGGGAGTATACACTTTTATTTAAGATCATCCTTTCCTTCTCCACTTGCCAAGCCACAAGCTGAACTGCAGAGAGTTTGGTGAGGGTCATTAAAAACTCTAAATACGACCTCAGACCACTTTTATGTATCTAAAAGTGTTGCGACCTGAAAAGCTCTTATTTCTGGCCTTTCCAAGGGCGAACTGAAATGCTCAGCCTTTTCAGGGAGCTCTTGGTTCTCTCTCAGCAGTGCCAATCAGATGCCATTCAAACCCACATTTTTTTGTATAGAAAAGTGGTCAGTGCTGCAGGACTAATTATTGCCTGTCAGGCATACTGACCAGGTGCAAGTGTGAGGGAGGAGGGAGCCAAAAAGCCTTGCTGCTGTAGGCCGATTAAATACTGATGGCTCCTTGAATTTGCTTAAAATTTCAATACGTGACCACACACACCCACTTACGTGTATGTATAAATCTGATGTAAAGCTGGAAGTGAATGCAAAGGTATTTTATGAAGCTTTTGTACTCTGCCTTAGTTATATGTAATGTCTTTATGTAAAAATAGATACTCAATAGTCTTAATTAATTGTGGTGGCAGGTACGTCACAACGGCTTCTGTTTTTATTAAAATCCTGTAAGATAAGCACTGACCTTGTGAGGGTGACCTAAGTGTGTAAAAATTTGTATTCTGTGTAATTATCAGCCTGAGGCAGCATTATCTGCAGAGCAAAAAATGAGTTGAGTGGACCTGTCAGAAGTGGTAGCACAACTGGATTAGAAATACTGGTGCTGTTTACAGTCACTATGCTGTACTTAGGGGGAAAAAATCTTCTGAATATCTTGTTACTGTTAATACAGAAAGAGGGATTGTACGGGGGTGTTTCTTCATTTCCTTAATAGTTTGACATAGCAAGGAAATCCCTTCTCACCGAGAGATCAAAGGAATGAGTATTTCGTGTGAAAGGATACAAAGTCTAGTAAATGTATGAATACTTTGTTGTGCTGTTAATAGTCTTGAGATGAGCTGTGACTCTCTCCTGGTGCTGGAGAAAGTGGGGCTGTAAATGAGGATGATCTGTCAGGAGCCGCCTGCTCCATCAGGCAGGGAGAGGAGTCGGATGGGGAAGGAGGAGAGCAGAGCCCCAGTGGTAGTGGAGCGGGGCGTAACGCCTGCTCTGGTGATCCGGGTGGGCCAAGTGGGAAGGAGAATGGGCCCTAAGAGGTGCTTCTCTCTCCTCG